CGAGCAGTCGAGACATCGGTTGACGTACGAGTTGTCTTCACACGCATCACACGGCGCGTCGGGAACGCCCGCTTGGTACTCATCGGAGCCTAAAGTTTTGAAAAACTCGACAACTCCGTTGATAAAGCAGTTTGCACCCACGTCCGCCACAGTGTCTTCAGCTGACCCTGTTAGTGGCACAACGGCGCGACACTCCGGGCAAACCAATTCACCTCTTTTCTCAACCAGCGTCAGCAGACATTTCTCGCAGTAAGAGTGTAGGCATGGTAACGTCTTGGCATTGGTGTAATAATCAAGGCATAGGCTACACGTCAAGAACTCCTTCCCAATCTTGAGTAATCCACTACTGTTAAGTGCTGTCGCCATGGCTGGTTTCACCGCAATACTGAATGTGAAAATAAGTCACATGACGTAAATACGTGGTAGCCATGATGACCCAATTCCAAATAATTGCGTCATTCATTCTCTTGAAACTGTGATATTCATAGAATTGTTGACATCCCGTTTTACGTGCACGTATAGACAACGTATGAAGTTTTCTAAGATGTATGTAAATTATTTTATTTTTGTACTCTTAGACTAATAAGTAAGGGGTCGATAATAATAATAATAATTATAATAATAATTACGAGATCTCGTGTTTTATTACGAAGTATCGTGAAATTATTGTGGCTGCCGCCCTCTAGTGGCAGATTTGAAATGTTCTTTCTTAGAATTTGGGGAAGGTCTCGCGAAACAGACCGAATAGCTTCACCTTCTTGGTGGTGTGCCATTTCGCATAGAAAATAGTTCTTTTTGTTTCATGGATTTTATACAATTGTAGACTCCTTGTTGTGTTTGGGGTTCTGTATTGATAGTTATAATTATTTTCTGTTGCATTTTGGCACATTTACTCATTACTTATTTTCCATGTGACTCGCCCTTTTGTATCCATGCGCACTTGTGATTGATGTTTGTACTACTGTCATAAAATGTTATCAAAGGTTGTCATGTAAGAAAACAAACAACATAATTATTGAAGCTGCATTTAAAGAAAGTAGTGGGTTTAAATACGATCCCTGGTATAAATTTGTCCAAAAACTTCTACAAATTACAAATATGACAAACACGAATACTAATCAGGCAATTTTTTGCAATCTGTTTAAAGAAAGGTTAAACCAAATGTACTCAACAAATGTGGAAAGTCAGTTGAACAAAACAGGTCATAATAAACTAAGTACATATAAAACATTCAAAAATAATTATAAATTTGAAAATTACCTGGATGATATAAAAAAAACACAGAGTATAACACGGAGTAGCATTAACCAAATTTCGTATTTCATCCCACTTCTTGCCAATTGAAATAGGCCGTCACAGGGGAATAAATAAAATTGACAGGGTATGTAACAAGTGTGACTCTAAGGATGTGGGGGATGAAAAACATTACGTTTTTCATTGTGAACATAACATTTTTTTTCAAAAACTCACCTGATTATCAAACCTCACCAAATGGAGAATTGTTAATTATTTTTTGCTAAAGTGTAGACAAACTTGTTTGTAGTATTTAGCTAATTTTGTTTTTCAGATTTTAAAATTATTTTAGATTAGTTATGTTACTTTATGTTTCTTATATTGGACTTTACTCAAGCATTGTTTTTGTGTACGTTCCAAATAAAATATCCTATCCTGTTCTACCTTATTGCCGTTAGATGATACGTACAAGACATGGAAGCTGTTTTCCGTTACGTCACTGTGAATTTCGAATATTTTCGATTGTCCCTAGGCTTTACAGGTCGCCAGTGAGGTAAATATGTGCCCATAGTGTATCCGTTGCATTTATTCTATTTTTGCCTTTTTGTTCACGATTTACTTTGTTATCAAGAAATTTGGATGTTTTGAAAAGATCGGACAAACAATTTTTTGTTACTATTATTCGACATTTCAAGCATATCGTTAACTGTAAAATTAATTGTGTTGCTACTGGACGTTATTGTTATTTGTATTTATCTGTATTTTTCAGTTTTTACGGAGCTTAAAATTGTGAATACGATGTTCATGAATGTACTTGGTTTTACACACTGTCAGTTTGCATCGGTATCGCTTGGTGTATATGGTCACAGTCAGCTGGCGCAAGCGTGATAATAAAATAAATGCGATATTTACTATATGGGGGCCGCCATCTTGAATGCGGCATAAAACTAAATAACGATATTTACTATAAGGGGGTCGCCATCTTGAATGCGGCATAAAACTAAATTAGAGTCTCTTATTTAGTGTTATGCCGCTTTCAATATGGCGGTCCTCATATAGCCTCGCCAGCCAATGGACGCGGAGCTCTTTAGCAACGGCGCAAACGTATCGTGTCCAGCCATTGGTTGGCCACAAATCAAAATACGCGTTGTATTTGGCTCTTTTGGTGTTCTAGCCGCAAGGATCTCTGGGAAGGAGAATGGGCGGTACTCGAACTCCGCACAGTTCGATACGCATTACTTATCATCACTGCACAAAGCAGTTTTGCTTAGAACTCATTTGCATATTCGAATTACAAGACCATGTCGGTTAACAAAGTTATGCGAAAGCCACTCGGTTACTTAAATCACTGTAATAAGACGTTTCATGCCCTGACTTCGAATAAAATGTTCAGTTTATTTGATTAAAAAATACATGACTTTCATTAGAAAAGTGCATACCTTTTCTAGATGCCGAAGCATTAGATGTACAATAAATGACTAACTTTATAAACTTACTAGAACCTTTGTGTTCTATTGCTGTTAGACGCGGAAAATCGAATCCGAAACGGAAATGTTAGGAACCCAATTTCAATGAAATTAGTTTTGAATGTTTCTTTCCCATTCTGTCCGCGATAAAATGGTTCATATTAACGTTTTTACTTAAGTCTGACATTAATAAAAAGGTTGGATGCGACATACGTTTTTTTCCACTTTTGTATCACATTTTTGTAACAACTACAGGAAAATGGCGGTGCGTAGTGAGGTGACTGACCCCAAAATTGAAGGCTGCCTGTGTAAAGCGCAAAGACCTATGAGAAGGACATTGGTGGCAGAGATACTGGCCGCAAGGGTCTCTGGGAAGGAGAATGTATTATGAGATCTCGTGTTATTATTAAAATCTCGTGATATTATAACGAGATCTCATGCTAAAATATTTTTGTCGTTCAATGTCCCCAATGAGCTTTCATAGAATAATGATTCATTGGTCGTACATCTGTCACCGTAACGCCGTAAGCTACAGCATGCCACAATTTGCGGTATTGCACTGGTTATTTTCATATTACCATATTAGAAAACGCGAGTTCCAAATATGGAACGATTACGCGCGTAAGCGTCCTCTAATAATAAAAAAAAAACTAAATCTGTTCTAAACGTTTTGGATTTCGGCATTCCCATATATTCCTGGGAGGAAAAGATAGATAATAATTATAACTCAGACAGTACGCGATCCTCCACTTGCGCCGGTCGATACTCCCGCTCACAGTCAGCTGGCGCATACGTGATAATAAATACATACGATATTTACTATATGGGGGCCGCCATCTTGAATGACGCATAAAATTAAATAAGTTGTGATCGGAAATAAGGCCTGTCTACCTGTCCCAGATAGGCAGATTTTAGCTGTGACAAGTAAACGTAAAATTGTTTTCACTAACTAATGCGGTAGTCCTAAGTGCTAATGACCAGGAAATTGCTTTCAGAGTTTTAAGACTTATAAAAATGATGAGCCAACAATGAATAAAACGTTTTATATGTTGGATTTGAAAATAGTGTAAAATATTCAGGGCTGAGTCAATGATTCCACAAGGTGAATCCAACTGCAGAAAAAGGAAATTTACCTTTCTGTATTGAGAATGACATTACTGCATTCGTTACGGTACCTGATGCATAATACATATATCTTTGCAAAAGATGTGACCTACAAATGGTAAATAGCAGATTACCTGATGACTAAGCTAGTAAGAATCAATTATGTCTAAGCCCCAAATTCCAAATGTTTCAATAATATTTTCCAGCCATAATTTCGAAACAAATGTACAAGTTCTGCATATATAAGGTGGGAAAAACACATACGGACCACAGCCAACAATAAGATCACGTTACTGCATGTGACATATACTTATTAAACCTAAGATATGATACCATCAGACAATAATCAGATTGGGAAATCGAATTATTTAAAGGGCGGCAGTCGTCGTGTAGCGTCCTGTTCGATATGGGACTCATAGCGACGTACACAACGCGTGTGAAATAGATTGTTTATTTACATGAAATACGAACACGCGCTGCGCGACGACCACCGCGCTTTAAACTTTGTAGTCTCCTTGGCATATAGTACTAGTGTAATTACTGATATATGTGGATTTTCTACATATCCATATTCCATATTGATGACAGGGCCTTGTGATCATCGTTCACCACCACGCCCAACACTCGCAATTTGCCCGAATCTCTTACAATGAGTTGTATAATAATATTAAGATTGTCCGGGAAACAAAATTCGGAATTTGAGAAATAACGCCAATTTTAGGGGCAATGGGAGACTTTTAAATAATATTGTAATTTATAGACACCCCCATGTACGTTGTAAAACGAACGCCCCCTTAATTAGTGAGCCATAAACATTCAAGGTTCCACGTGACTGTACTGTTCATCAAGGGGTTTTAATTACCATGTTATTGGAGTTGTCAGTTTGTTTGCATTTCACTAATAGCATACTTTCTCCAGTTTTTGCTTATTCCGTCTAGATCAATTGGAGAATTTTTATATGGATTGTTTGTTTCAGTCTTAATTTACGATCATTGACGTGAAACTTTTAACCGTCTTAATATGAATCCAAGTTTGAAGAAAAATAGATAAAACGTTTTTAGTTATTACACCACAAGGAAACTGACTACGAGGGGGTCAAAAACGATAACAGACATTTTTGCCAAGGACAAGATAAAAAAGCGTTCTAACAGTCGAAATATCCCTATTGTTTTGTAGAGTGTCTTCCTCAAAACAAAGTTGATAATGGACTGTAACTATTTGCCATGGTTATTAGTGTTAAAGATATTGTCACAAAATGAACAAATCTGACTGGTCCAACCAAGGTACCTACACACCAATAGAGATGGTAGTTTTCAGGAAGAGACCGAAAATACAATTGTTGATGGACGGCGGACAATCACCTATATTAACAGCTCCACTCTGTCATTTATTAATTATTAATTATTAATCAGTATGCAAATTAGGTAATTAATATGAATGGATTTTTATTCAAAACTAATAAGGTCTACGCAATGTCACAGACCATACGACATACGAAGTGTCTGAGTAAATGAGCTTCAAGAAGAAAATATAAATGTAATTGTTGACGGACGTATAATAACAATAATAATATAATAAAACAGTATAATTGTTAAAAACAATTTAAATGTAGTAAATAAAACTCCGGAGAAAATGCGATGATAACAGTTTTTAATCCAATTTTCAGGAAGTATAATTCACACTAATCATTTTCATAGAAGAATTATTTTAAATCATATCAAACTGTATATTTTATGTTACGTTAATTGTGGTCATGTGACTGCTGAGTAAATAATTCCTTTAGTATAGATTCAAGTGAGTACTGTGAAGAAATTAAAAATGTAACCACAATTTGTTATTGAAAAATGTAGAATAAAACATGACAAACATAACAGTCAGGGCGATTTTGAATATTATATGCATTTTAACCAGAAAATGTTGTTCAGATAATGAAATCTTTAGAATGTGTGAATTCAACACACAAATCGCTATGACTGTTATGATCATTTATATTACATCTCTAATCTCTGGAAAAAGTAGAAAGATCTGCTCAGTGCCTGCTGAGCAATACCGTGACTCATTTGATTAATCATTTTGATGTCAGAATTGAAAACAAAGATATACACTAATTTGCATATGAATAGTGGGGTTGCTGCTGAAATCCTCTGTTACTAATGTTTTGACGCCCAGTAAATTGTAGATTTACAAACATCTAAAGATGTTCTAAGTGGTTAGTAGGAGTTTTGATTTTATGTAGACTTAGAACGTCGGGGCTTTTTTCCCAAATATATATAAACCGCCTTAGTTAGTTAGTTTTCGCAGTCACGCTAAAATGATGAAATATATAAAATAAAAAAAAACTCTTGGTGGTGTCTTTGCGCATTCACAGATCAACACAAACAAACCATGTACATTATACAACATATTTTCATTAACAACAGTTAAACCTGTCTCAGTTCATCTCAATACTGCAGAATAGTGAATAGTATTACCCGTGGATAAGTGAACCAACGGCGACATGTTTACGCACACTAATTTGCCGTCGGCAAGAACGCAGTTATAATAAAAAGACTACTTGTTTATTAATTGTAATTGCACTACTCACACCGTGCAGTTTGTAACTACATGTAAAACTAAAACTTAAAAATTGCGCCATCTATCGGTGGTTACATAATATCGCCAGAGGGCGCAACTTTCGTGAAGGAAATATTTTAATACACACATTATAAAAAACACAACAGATATTATATTTGTATTAGAAATATTTGAAGACATGAATAATACATGCTCACTAAAATTCGGCTAAATGTTTTTATTTTTTTGTTAATGACGAACTGAATAACGTCGACAGTCCCATCTGAGTTTATACAAATGCCTGCTAGCTCGGCTCTGATGGCGTAGGTCACGGGTCTGGAAATAAAACAAAAATAGTTGTTTACAACCGATATTCCTAGTATTGTAACTCTGCTGTAACAGAACTACTTGTAGTAGCCGGGGGTACTTGAACAGAAACCATCCTGCTATTTGAGTTATATTGTAGACGAACGAATTAAAATCATTTTGCAATGAGGGAAGACCTCGTAAGAAATATCAGTCTGATTTCCAACACCTGTATGTGACAGTCCTTCTATGCTGCATATATTTCATGAAATCTTGACTATACTAATAATAGAAAACAAGATGGTGACTGTTGAGTTCCGTCAACGGTTTGTGAAATAGAGAATTAATCCGACATGTAATCATGCAACACAAAGTTATGAAGATATTTCACCCGCGCTTCTATCCAATGTGCACTCGTGCTAAATCGATAACATTGTTATGTTTGTTTACTCCAGTGACTTACTAACAATTTGTGTTTGTGATTTCGTTATCACGAGAAACAGCCTTTCAGTGTACTCCAGTGCGAGTGTATTCCAAACGCAACATAGCCCACCCGATGTCTATGTTCTCATATACATTGTATATACAAGCTTTTAAAATATGTACATATTGCCAACCTTACATACGCGATATATTATATTTATATCAATAACTGCCACTTGTGATGAATCAAATATAACAGGGATTTTAAAAAACATGGAATTATTTTGTTCATGAGTAATTCATTTTGCCTGCAGAACGTGAAAAACTGTAGAATTCGATCAATAATTACTCGAAAATTGAAAATAATTACATAACTACATAATATTAATTATAATATTGCCACCCAAGGATAATATTATTTCTTCCATTCTCAGGGCCGCCCAGAGATATATTTGGTATAGTATACGTAAATTCGACAAATTGCCGTGTAGAGCTAAGTACTTATATTCCAAATTAATCGAAAGCTTACCGGCTTTTGGTGGTTCAAATCTTTTTCGAAGACACCAGCGCCATCAACGTCATTTGCTCCTACCACACTGCTATCTGTGCAAAGGAAAATACAAAATATACCTTAGAAAAGATAGTATGCAACTTTCTGTATGTGCAATCTGCGTCATAATCCCCATTACAGTTTAATCCAATCAATGCATGCAACCTCAGAGCACATATAAGAGTCTGAGATACAACTGATGAATTCAAAGCAGGGGAGTAGTCACCTGCGCATGTGTCAGAAGGCCATAGCGTGTCTTTGTTTACAAACAAGCGTCTACCCATGAGCATTTGCGTTTTTAGCGTGTGTTGTCATCATGGCTTGGGACTCAATTCCCGCGCGTGCGCAGGTGACGCTTTAAAGTAAAAAGTGTACTTCAATTTCAATCTCATTTAGCGAACATTTTTTTACAATTTCCATTTTCTGGGAGTGTCTTTGGCCGGGTATGTCTCCCTTTCTCAATTGTTAAACTGTGGTTACTTGTTTTAAATTTAGACGTAATTAATTCTTTGAAATAAGTAAACTTGTTTGTTTGTAAACAATGACACGCTATGGCCATCTGGTGCATGCGCAGGCTACGACTCCCCCGCTTTAATGAGGACAAAATGTTTATAAATTACATGTCAGCTTCAGCGCAAGACAGCAGCGTCTACCAACTCACAATTGACAACCTCCTTCCAATATACATGTTTCATTTGCATCTGTTCATTCTGTTTAGATCCTAATTTGGTACTGTTGTCAACTTTAAAACCGGGCAAATCAGTCGACAGGTTGAACATTAACTGTACTTCCATGTGTCAGTGTTAGTTATACCCCAGGGAAGGCAAATGATATAGTCACTGGTTGCTTCGGTCCCAGTTTATATAAATCAAAGATGTTACGCTGATAGTAAGCATAGATACATCGCCCGCCTACACAGTGTTGTTCCGTTCGGACATTCTTCCCTCCACAACAGTGGAGTGCTTTGCCGGAACATTCACCTTGAAAATTCAAGATGGCATAGATAGGACACGTGAATGTTCCGTATAATCAAACAAATTACCCCTTTCCACTAAATCGCAAATTACTCACCTTTTCTGGGGAAACACTGACGTTTTAGTTTTTTTCCAAAACCCACAGTTTATTACTATACTACACACGAGAGATGACCCTCGCAATGTCATATAGTACAAATTCACAAAAAAATGTGTTTTTCAGGTCAAAATAGTTATTCCCCTCTATATGTGGGCAAATACACCCGTTAACCAACGAAGTGCCATTCCTTATTATACGCACCTTCAGGGTGTTCGGAAAACTGTGCTGTAGAGCTTCCAGCTATATGCGTTACCTTGTTGCGTGGCTCCGTCATACTAGCAGTAACCGTATTGACTGATTCGCCTGGGTTTCCCAAATCCTCTTCCGCGCCGAATCCCTCATTAGGCGACTCACACGCAGGTGTACTTATTCGAGGGATTGTCCCATTGCAACTCGTAGTTGTTCCATGAGAACATTCTAAGATTTCCAAACTGGGTCTAGACTTCACGCAGTCGTCTTGTTCGGTGTGTTTATCGGTGGCAAGGTCAAGTTGATCCACATAGGACAAGGTTTTCTGGAATTTTGAAACTATTTCACCGTTATTGAAGTACTCTTGTAGCACATTAATCAAACTGCGTGTACTGGAAATATCTTTTCCCTTTCTTGCATACCGATGAAATTCGCTTTCCAAATATCTTGATTTTAATTCCTTTTCCTTCTTCAAATCTTGCAATAGCCTATCACTGTTTTTCTCCATCTTTTCCATGTTTTCTGCAACGTGTCTCGTCACACTGGTGGCTTCAGCTTGGTAAAGTTCCTCCATAGCAACCAGCTCACACGTGACCGACTCGGAAGACTTCTGACATTCTTTCTCCTTTTCTTGTAATTTTCTCATAACTCTATGCATGACGTCACCCGAGCATAGGTGATTACGCCGAGGAGCTCGATAATCGATTGGGACATTGCATGAAGCACAGCGTGACTTGTGTAGTTCGTCTACGTGACTCACTGAGTGCGTTCCGAGTCTGTGTATGGCCTGTGTTTGTTTGTATCCGTACTTGGGAACCGTGGTCGCAGGAACGATTTTATGAGCCGTGCAGCACGATTCACGCAGGTTCAATCCACAATCAACACACAGTTGCTTAAATGCTTTTCTATGATAAGCGCTACATGAAGTAGGTCCTTCAATGGCACTGGCATGGTCTTCCGCAAAATCATAACGACCGTTTGTTGACGACGCCGCCCCAAGGTTGCAGACATGGTAATCGAGAGGAACAATATGGGCTCGACACTCGGGGCATTTCATATCTCCTGTTGTCTTCGAAAGATTAGTAAGACACTTTGTACAGTAAGCTAGTCGACATGACAACGTATCAACATGTCTGCTATGGTCATAAGTTACGGCATTCATGATGTCAAACACAAGGTTGCAGATGCAATGTATATTGTCGAAATGGGAACGGTTTCACGATAAAATCACGAAGAAAATGGCGTGTCGAGTCCAGAGAACGGGGACTTTTGTCGCAGACATGCACGCCATTTTTCGCAGAATATTTCAACAGTCACGCTTTAAAAATAGTATTCTAGTTTTTATGGTGACTAACTAATTCGTAGAATGCCCCGCCCCCTGTTTCCGTGAATGCGCTTGTCGGGGTACCTAACTACCTTGCATGTATATTGTCCCTGGCGGAGCTGTCATTCTGTACAAAGGCGGCAAATGTTATTGGCAAGGAGAACAGTGAATTATACATGGAGGTGGATAAAAAAAAAGACTATATTTCGTAATATTTGTCTGATAATATATTTTGCTACTTCCTGTACTTACAATGTAGAGGTACTAGTATTTCTAACCAGCCCTCTACTATCGAGTTGACTTTTACTTTTATTAAACACATAAAATTCCCCAGGGGGAATTAAAATGATTACATTTACACTAAAGAAAACTAGACTAATAATACAAAACACTAAGACTAAAGTAGTGATGAAAAAATAATAATAATCGAAATAAAAAAAACATGAATAGTAATATATCCCCAATAGCAAAAATGAAGGTAGAAGAAACCATTGTTAAAAAGTAATAATAATGCGTTAATACATTAAGGTTTAAAAATCTTGGAGGTGTAACAGCACCCCACCCCCACCCCCAAGTCTCTGGTGGGGTTGACAATTGAAACACATTTCTTCAGTTGTTTTATTGATTTAAAAAAAAAAAGCATTTGCTTCCATCTAGTATGTGGATCTTTCACATAAGCTAAGCCACAATGGAGTCAATGGAAAATTTTATAACATTTTAAAAGCTATTTCTACTAATTTGGTAGGATGTGTGAAAGTTAAAAATGGTTTGACCAATACTTTCCCAATCGAGAAATGCATCAGACATTTTTACATAAATGATATTAAAGAACAAATAAATTCCTCGCACAATGACCCACCAACTCTTGTTAAAAAAAATGGCTTCCATGTCTATTGTATACAACAAGGAGGTAATACCTTCATGTATAGACATAACTTGCTTTTACTCCTAGAGATAAAAACTGGGCTACAAAATGCTATCAACGCCCTGCAATCATACTGTAAGAAATGGAAGTTGGAAATTAATATTACTAATCAAAAGTAATAATCTTATGTAATCATGTATCCCATTGCAAATTCATCTAAAGATGCTTGATGCAGTGCCAGTAATTAAACCAGTCCTTCTGTGCTGTGCAGAAATTAGGTGATATAGTTAAACACACAAAGGATTTGTGTAATTTTCCAGCTCCAATGGAAAAACTCCACATCAAATTTTTGCTGAAAGTAATTAGCAGGGCTCCCAATCTAGCTTGTTTACTTGAACTAGGGAGATATCCTCTTGTTATAGAAAGCACAAATGATATTGAATCAAAAAAGAGTATGCCAGAAAATACACAGATGAGTGAAGCATATAAACTTGGTTTGAATATGCACAATTAAGGTACACAGAATTGGGTATATACCAGTAGTGTAACTCAAATATTAGATGAGATAAAACTCAATATTTGGAAAAACAATAAATTAAAATACAGTGAAGCCTTAAACTTTAAGTTCAATGCCAGAAAAGATGTAAAGAGTTTATGCACAATATTGACAAATGCATAAACCACATAAATAAACTCAGAACTTACAGAAAATTTAAAACAGACTTTTCACTAAAAAAATACTAAATAGTAAAAAAAAATCGCCATATCACTTGAAACTGAGGATAAGTGTCCATTACAGATTGAAATGGGAAGGTACAATGATGTACCAATCTCTGATAGAACATGAAAATAAGCAACACTTCTTTTCATGCCAGTTATACACTAAGGAAAGAGAAAGTTTGTTCAGAAAACACAATGATGTTGCGAAACACATTTATCACTGTTTTAATATCCGTGAAAATTTAATTAAAAGTGAAATGCTTAAATCAGCTGCTCCAAAAAAAATACAAATTAGCCAGTTTTTTGCATCTTTAGAAATTTGAGCATCTTGTTTGATTTTTCCCTGTATTAATAGTGTTAGTTGTTTTTTTATGTCTTTGGAA